ACTTTCCATCCCTGGTCATTAGGGTTCTTTCCATCTAGTCTTTAGTTAATTATTCAGGATGGTTTTTCTGTATTTTAGTTGTAATTCCAGTTTGGTCCTGGAAGTGTATCAGTGTAGTTTCCACTTACTCTGCCGCCATTTTGGAATCTCCAAATTACTGAAAGGTTATTGCCAGCGTGATTGGGACAAGAACCACCTTTGCAAATCTCTCCCATCACTCTTAATTTTCCTAGTTCATCCTGTGCTTGTAATTTATGTTTCTGATCCTTAGCAGTGCTTGTCTCAGTGATACTGGTCCAAAATCAGTGTGTCCGCAGCTTCAAAAGGCCAAGCTGTCCAATATCTATTCTTTTTAATTAAAATGTTTTTCTTAAAATAATTTTATGAGTTATGACCAGCTCTCTCCTCAGATTACCAAAAAAGTTCAATTTTAATTTATTATTATATCAGTGTGTTTTGGGGGATGTGATAGGAAGTGTTGGCTATATTTTTAATGTAATTGAATTAATTTGTAGCTCATAGATTTCTCCACTGAGAAAAGATTTTATATAACTGGTGTATCAGATCATCACTGTTACTCATTAAAACAATTCAGTTCATTAACATTTAATGGATTCTACTTTCAAAGGATTCTACTTTCAATATTTCAAATATGTTCATGTATTTCTGAATGGTCCAGGGAAGAGGATTCCTCCTTTTCTTAGAATTCTCTTAGATTCACAATCTTCATAAAGAAACTTTTCACTAGTCATCAACTGAACTTTAAAAATGTATCAGGTTGATCTCTCTTCCACTGTGTTGCTGCAGATTTGAATAGCTGCCTTTACTTTCTGAAATCTTTTCACAGATATAATGATAGTAGTAATACCGCATTCTTTTAAAGACAAGGTACTAAGATAGAGAGAAAAATCACTGCTCATAAATTAAATGCAATGGATTTTGCACATTAATCAGTTTAAATATGTAAAAAATGATTTAAGTAGTTCCTATTTCTGCCTCCCTCAAAAACCCAGGTGTTGCCAAGTAATCAATTATTAGTAGTTTCATTTTTCATCCCTCCTCTCAAAAAATCAAAATTTTATTTAATTTTGTGCAAAAAACATTTCCAGTGGAAAAAAAAACCCAGGTGATTCTCTAAGGTTCTTTAATCCACATCCCCATTTACATTTTTTCATCTCATACTGAACTGAGTCCATTTCTTATATTTATGTTGGACTTCTCAGATGGCATGACAGTAGACTCTAGGTGCTCATTAATGCTTTAACAAAAAATTTGGATCATTGTGGCTCTCTACACTTATTAGCAGGCTTTTTCTGTGTTATCATATCTAATTGCTCCTTTTAGAGATGTAGGAAATCAGATTTAGACAGGGCAATTAACATACTGATGATCCTAGCCTTCGTAAGTGGCTAGACCCCTCTGAGTTTTTGTCCTCTTGTCCAAAGTTATTCTGGGTATCAGGAGGATGTGTGTGCGGGCATGTGGGCTGGAAAACAGACAAATAGGAAACATAATTGCCTAATGACTCTTCTTGCTAATCCTTTGCTCGTCAAATACAATGTCCTTGTGTCAGATTTTTTGAAATCAGGCATGCATCGAGAAGTGAACAGCACCAAGACTGCTGAGGACAGGAGTTACTTTCTAGCTCCAGAATTTTGCATATAGAAGATACTTGATAAGTATTTGCCAATGGAGGATGTGTTAGATAATCACATCAAAGAGTTGCCCTCTACAATGAGAGGGATTTTTGTCTCTTGTTCACTGCTAAAATCTCCAGTACTTGAAGAGTGCCTTTTATAGGGTAAGTGCTAAAATATTTGTTAAAGAGCTGGAACCCGCATGGAATGGCCCAAACAGAGCATCAGTTCCGACAAAGGAAAATTCATAAACACAATTATCAGTAGCCCGAGCAGAGAAACTGAGTTGAAAGTTCCTGAGAAGGGTTTAGTGTCTCTCTCTCTCTCTCTCTCTCTCTCTATATACTTAAATATACTTAAGCCAAGAATGCTTTGTTTATTTGCAGTTCCTGTTACTTTTCCCAGATCTTGCTGGAAAGATTCTTCTCCCAGGTGCTTTTATGTCTAGCTCCTTAATGTCATTTAGGTCTCTGCTCAAATGGCACATGCACAGAGAGAGAGAGAGAGACTTTCTTTGAGTATCCCTTTAAGCTGCCTATGCAAAATTTAAAGTGTATGCAAAAGTAAACAGAATCGTATAATGAACTTTTATGCACTAAATCACCTAGCTTCAATAATAATTGTTTTACCTATGTTAAAAAGATATTTCACTATGTAGCATTATGTCACATATCTTTTTATATCTTTATTTAGGAGCTAGCCCGTTTCCCACTAGAGTCAAAGATCCATGAGGTCAGGGACTTGTTCTAACTTGTTCACTTTTGTATCCCAGACACTTTGAACAGTATCAGGTACATTGCAAGTGGAAATAAAACTTGTTGAATGAAGTAATGAATGCTTAAGAGAAGATTGAACTAAGTCTAATGGATTCAAAATAATTGTAGAGATTTACAATAATCTTATTTTTGCAATTAGAAGTACTTAGTTTTAATCCCAATTTTATTGCTTAATGTTTTATGTTCTAAATTTGCTCACATGGTGGAAAGTGGTAGAATCAATTTACATATGTTGCTTTTGAGCCACTGATATGTTGAGATTTCTATTAAGAATCCAATATGTTGTATCATTAACTTTTAAATATACGTTTGTTTGTTGAGTAAATAAGCTTTAAAATATGAAACAGATGTAATAAGAATTAAGCATATTGTGAGTATATGATCTATCAGTATTTTGTGAATTTTTGCTATGTTGGGAATACTACTTTAAACATTTAACCTTTGAGTAATTTTTTCTTGAGGTACAATAAGTAGTTTTTAAAATAGGTGGAGTATTTTTTAAAGCATTACTCTTGCATGTTTGTAGGGTTTAAGTATGTACTGAACATGTAGTAGTCAAGAGGATCTATGTTCTGCTGCAGTAACTAGTTAACCTTGAAAAATCCCTGAAAATGTGGTGAAACCCATTTATTTCTTGCTCAGAAAGTGTCTAAAGTGTCTCCTGAGGGTCAAGTCACTTAAGACAGCTTCCTTCAAGGATTTGGTTGGCTTTGTCTTCTAGTTTCCATGAGAGGGACAGAGTTTTCCTTGCCTCATTCCAGGAATAATGGATATTGCTTCCACTTACAGCCCAGTGGTCAGAATTAGACATAAGGTTCAATATAACTACCAAAAGCCCAGGAAATGTAGTCCAGTGAGTACCCAGAAGGAAAGGAAACCAGATCATGGCAATGACTAAGTATACATGGACTACATGCCATAGACCTCAGAGGTCACAAGACTATCCATTAATTCATTTAGTGAACATTTACTGAACACTTCACTGGTAAGCCCATAGGTGCCTAATCTTAAGTAGTCTCTTAAATT